ATTGAAGTTATTCACAAAAACGTTGGCTCCATCTTCTGCAAAAGAAACCCCAGTGACATGGGGTGTGAACATCACGGCTGGGTGTGACCACAAAGCACTCTCGCGAGGAAGGGGTTCTTGTTCAAAAACATCCAGCACAGCACGCGACCACATTCCATTGTCGAGAGCAGAGATAATTGTCTCCTCGGAGGCTACATCACCACGTCCGATGTTGCTGAAAATGGGCTTGCGTTCGCGACAAAGCTTCAAATTGGTTTCGTTGAGCAAGTACTGCGTGGAACTCGTACTAGGAAGTACATTCACCAAATAGTCACTCTTAGACAGAACCTCATTCAGATCTGCGGTGACGTGGTCCGGACTAGACGCTAATTCGAGATTGGCACCTACACGGCGCTTAAAACCTATCACGTTGTACCCTGCGCTTCGCAACATCTTGCCAATGCCTTGACCGATCTCTCCAAAACCCAAGATACCGATCGTCACATTTTCGGGAAGTCTGAAATTTGCCATTTGTGCTCTTGCATACTCGCCCTTGTTCCGAAAGTCAATGGCTTCCAACAGTTTGCGCTCAAACATTGTCACGTATCCGAATACGTGTTGGCCCATGACGCGCGGAAACAACGCACCAGCTCGGGTCAACACGAACGGTGGCGCTTCGGATGACTTCGTTTTGGCCAGTCGATTCAAGTAATGCTCAACTCCCGCATACGTACCTTGTACCCAATTGATGTTCCGTAGAATACCACGCATACCTTCAGATAGATTTTCCTCTGGCGCGATAAATAACGGACCACCGATGTGTTGATCCATTACTATCACGTTGACTTGTTCGACAACGTGTCGCTGTTCTAGAGTCAGGTCCCAGCGAGGAGAATCAACGTTATTCATCTCATGTGAATAGAGAATAATTTTGTGTGTTGCAAACTAGTGTTGGTAGTGGGATATCCACAAATCCCAAGTTGTTGGAACGGTAAAGATCGCCAGCAGGAGTTGGAGAAGCAGCAAACTCTTTGCGTATTGCACTCGTCATCCCATTGAAATACGACACGACTGGCACACGAAGCTTGGAAGTGATGGACTTGACAGCAACCATAATGTAGAATACAATGGTGTGCTAACGTTTGATTTGCAAGGCAAAGCACAAGAGAACCCTAAATCGCAGACTGACCAACACTCTGACTACGATGACTGGACGTGGAGATGTCCGGCCTCCCGACCCACCTCCTGGAGAGAATGAACGAGGCTCGACCCTAGGGGAGCAGGGCAGTGAAGGTCAAGCAGCCGGTGACTTTCCAATGCCTCCTGGGCGGCAAACGACGAGTCAGTACTGATCAGGACGCAACGCAGCCTTCTGCATATAGTTCAGCAAAAGCTCAAGCAGCCATATGTACACCTATTCGGCCTGGTGCTTGGGATGCTCAGGGCACTGCGCGACAAAAGAAAACCCTGGCACACGACTGGAATGTAGATTCTGTGGGGAGAGAGGACACTGTGGAGTCAAAAATGATCGGAGAAGCACTTGATCCGTGCTTACTGCGAGACGATGCTAAATTGCGCGGCATTACGGAGAGAGAGGAAGATATTTTAAGCATCTACCTTAACGGTAGCCTGGAGTTGTCGCATCCTCCTTTCTTCATCAATGAAGTCCTTCCTTCACTTCAGCGCACTCAGTTGCGCGAGTATCATGATATATATCTCCTGTATCGGCTGACAGCAACGGTACCTCCCGTTGTTCGCATCCCGCGCGGAGTTTCCCAACGTACTATCATGGAAACTCTGTTTGCCTCAAACACGAGACGGGTTGTCGGACAAACAATGATTCGGCGGCTGATGCACGATCTTGAGAGGGTCACTTACGATGGAGCTTATATTCTGACATTTGTCTTTACATTCCACAACAAGGCCAAAGCTTGGATAAACGCCACCCTCCGGCTTCAAAATGGACTGATTACACTCAAGGACACAGCTGGGCTAGACATGGCGGAAGCTAGAGGAGCGATCACTCCGGACCAACTAGATTTGTGCTACAAGGTCAAACTCCTCCAGGCTAATGACCTGGGCGCGACGGCGCTGCATCTGGCCATGCAGCAAATAGCAAGGGTGTCGGTGTTACAAGTGACCAGCCCGGTGAAACAAGTGGGACAGCAGACGCCTGATAACAACTTCTGGGAAGTCACTTTCAAGACAGCCACATGCCCAACTCCACTCATTGGTGTGAGCTGCATCCTGGTGGAAGGTTCCCCTATTCTGGTGCATCGCCACCTGACCCGGTTTAACATTCCGTGTTTTAGATGCTACAACCCAGGACATCCAGCACCTTACTGCAAAGTGCCAGATGGCCTGCGAGACTCAGTACGCGCAAGGTTCAGCAAGGTCTTCACCGAAATTCTCAGCACCATCCCTACCATCAGCCCCAAGCATGTATTAGGGGCCCCTATTGCGAAAGTGACGGCGATGATGCACGCAGCAATCGCTAGGCACCTCACGGAAGATGAACAATCCAAGAATCAGGCAGCAGGACCATCGATGCGAGGCTTTTCTGAAGAAGCAGACGTGACGGGGCAAGAGACATCGGTCTCCACAAGGAGCAGTAGCATGGGCTCCAAGGACTTAATCGACAATCTTCCCAAACCAACTGACGTCACGGAATTTAAAATGAAGCAGAACCGAGCAACCAAACGGACCGAGTCCCCCGAAGCACGTGAGAAAGGATTCTTCAGACCCCAGATGGTAAAACCGAATGGCAAGAAGACCAAGAAGTAGCTCCGGTTTGATGCCTTCCTGCTTCATAACCAGAGCACCGGATTTCACATTCTGCAAGATGATGAAGATGAGGAAACGAAAGAGCCTGAACCGCCGGAGCCTCTGAAGCAGCCGAAGTCACCGGGTCCACATACTGCGCTTCGGGCGAACGATGAGGGAGACAGGATCAGCGTCATGAGTACGGACGACGCGCCATACGCTTTTCCTCAGTCATCAGACGTGGAAGACGATGACATGACTCCCCTCAGCCCCCTACCTCATGATAACGACGAGGTGGACCAGAAGGAAAACCCGACGACCGGAAACCTAACGCCTACTTTTGCTCTCCCGGCCCCACTAACACCGGGTGCTGCTGAAGTGTCTTCTCAAAGTGGTGAATCTTCCCAGGGTATGACCTTATCAATGTGGTAGAAGCCATGCCGTAACAGCCCATCGATTTCTCGATAGCTCCTTTCCACGGTAAGCTTTTCACGGTACCTGCCGACGGGCACTGCATGCTATATGCATTCTACGCGTCTTCGATGGACTGTGCCACCGCTGGGTTCAAGATGAACGCAGCGACCATCTCGAAACTCAATCGGATAAAACACGATGTATACACGATCATGATGGGGAATCCGGAAGGTGACGTCGAGTTGGGACTGATAGACCCACTTGCGGAACTCACTCGGATTTACCCGTCCCGTACGTGGTCTACCTCGGCAGCAAACGTTGTGGCCGAACGGTTCGCGCATTATAAAAGAGAAAGAGACATCTCTGTCAATACTGTGAGACCTTCAAGTTACTTGGCAGAAGGGGCTTTCCTGCGGGGTTTGACGCAGTACGCGCGAGAACCAATAGACGCAATCGATGTGACACGATCCAGAGCGTCACATGTTCAGCGATATGTCTACGTTGACTTCAAACGGGCAGACGGCACGAACTTCGAAACTGGAGTCCAGGAAGCACTGGCCGACCCCAGGGCAGTGATGCTCTTCAGGGAGTACATACTGAATGGGGTCGTTCCAATCATACTTGTACTACAACACGCTGAAAGCCACTACTATGGTGTTCACCACGGGAGTCTCCTACGGCAATGGTCAGACACACCGCATCCTGACAGGAGGGCACGGCTAGACGCAGCTCACGCGATATTGAAGGACACGCGCTTGGACAGGCATCCACTCCTCATGGATGTATGTGAACAGCTAGCGAGAGAGACAGAGGCGGAATTGCAACGCAGCACCGAATACTGCGATTCTGTTCGTGCCCCTCCCGAACAGGATGGAGACAGTGCCGCAACGACTCTGCCTCAAACCAAGCAACGGGGTAACATCAACATCGAGGCTTATGCTAGGATATTACAGGAGACAACGTCGGACGGTTTATCACTGCTTGATTCCAGAACGAAGCACCGCTGCGCAGAAGCTAACCAGGAGGCATTAATGAGTTGGCGCAGGAAGAATGGGAAACGATACCAATTGCATACAAGTCACACTTCAATGTCGGATGATGACTTCACGAAGTGGCTGTCACCCCGCTCCGAAGCCTGTGGCCCAGGCTTCGGAGCGCTACCGTACCCGGAACTGGCAGCAAAACATTGTTCTAGCGAGTTCTTGAATGTATGGGGTTCGTATGAAGTCACACAGGAACAATTAGCGGTCATTAGAACCATTGCCAGAAACGCAAAAGCCCCAGAGAGCGCTCGGTTGCTATGCAAGGAATGGATCAGTGTGTGCGAAGCAGCTTCGGAGGACAGGATGAAGCGACAGTTGGCGAGAGAGAAACAACGCTGGGACCGTTTGCAAATTTAGTTCCTTCGGTGGTCGTACGATATAAACCCGAAGAAATGGACACGAGCGTGTGGAGGCTGCTCCATCCGCTACCTGCAATCATCTCGGATTGGGATAAATCGGCTTTGGCGGTAACCACTCGAGCGCTCAGAGCGGCGTGGTATACCTCGTCAACAGCGGTGAGAAGCTTCTGTGCCGAAACACACGCACACGGAGACTGGAGTGCTGCTCTTGCCATCAGTGGACAAGCCAAGGGAAACAGAGAACATGACCCCGAAGACCCCACTGGAAACCCCGTAGGGGGGCGGTTCCACTAAGGGCACCGCACGAGTGATTAGTAGAAGTGTGGACAAGCCTGTGGGCTCATCACCTGAGAAATACAGGGGCATGCAAGAGTCGGCCACACAAGCAAAAGCGATGGATGCACACTATGTAATGGTACCTAAGGAGGAGTACGAGGAGATAATGACGCGTGAGTTCAGGCAGCTGAAGCGTAGGGTACGGTATGAGCAGAAGCTGAAGAGGAAAAAGTCGTGGCTGATCGGACGGAGAAGGAAAGAACGAGGTCGGCGACACAAAGACGAGCAGTTTTGGGGACTGGTAACACAGAATGTTAATGGTTTTGGTGCCACTAACAGGTACAAGCAAATGTGGCTACGCTCGTTCGCATCCCAGAAAGCAGGTGTGCGAAACAATTTCGGGCTTCTACAGGAAACGCACATAGAGGAGAAGGAGCGTGAGAGAGCAGTAAAGGAATATGCTGCAAAATGGGGCTTTCGGAGTGGGGGACTATGCGAGCAACTATCATGGTGGTCGTCTTCCAAGGATAGGAAAGGAGGCACTGCTTGCCTAATCCATCCCTACGGAGGTTTTAAACATGCACAGTCGGTTCTCGAGGAGCACCGGTCGCCGTACGTTATGGCTATACAAGGACATATCGATGGAGTGGAGTTTTTAGTGCTGAATGTGTATGCCCCTCACGTAGTGGTGGAACGTGTGCGATTCTACAGACAACTAGCTCGCATAGAGCTTCCAGCGGGGGCTAAGGTGCTTCTGGGAAGGGACTTTAACTGCTCCCAGGAGTACAGAGTGGATCGTAGCTACGTCCAAGGCCCTGGTACGCACAAGTCTGCGGGACTTGACACACTACTCGGGAACTGGTGTTTGGAGGAAGCGCTAATTTCGGAGATACCAGAGATGGAGGATGTTCCAGCTCTTCACCACTTCCACACAGCTCATCATACATATCGGTACAATATTCCAGGGAAGGGAGAGGTGACCAGTAGATTAGATCGCTGGTACCTCAGCAGCGCGGCGATGGAGTGGCTTCGAAAAATCGAGGTTACTCCACCTGTCCCTAAACCGGATCATCGTGGGGTGCAAATATGGCTGGGATCGACGGCTGACCCGGTCCGGATACGCAAACCGGCGAAGATATTTCCTGCTCCTCATTACGCAGTCCAGTCAGTACGAGAGCTCACGCTGAAACAAATAAGCGACTTGGGAGCTCAGGTGCAGGACATGTCGGCTGCTGAATCGGCGAAGGCGTGGGAATCCTTCAAGTTGCGCATTGCGAAGGAGACGCTCCGGACTGTCAGGGACACCAGAAAAAAGACGCCGGAATTCGTACAAGCAACGTCTCAAGAGGTTGCTGAAACAACAGCGGCGTGAACTCGAACGGATGGAGAACTATCCAGTGACAATAGAGACCGTTATAGATCAACTCGACGCT